TAGGCTCCAGCTATTCTTATAATTTGTCTTGGAGCTACGAGACCCTTGGGTTCACACATCAGTTGGTGTAAACTGAAGTCGCTCTTGGAAGTAATGAGGTTGTATAAATGTTGTGTCAAGTTAAGACAGACTGGGGCAACGTACCAAAAGCAGAATTATTTAAAGACAACACAGCGGGACTGGCTCTTGGAAGTAATGAGGTTGTATAAATGTTATGCCAAGTTAAGACAGACTGGGGCAACATACCAAAAGCAAGATTATTTAAAGACAACACAGCGGGACTATGAAACAGGCAGAAAAGTCTGATCTCAGCTCCAGCTTGTGAACTGCATGAGAGAAAATGAATCTCAAGAGAATAGTAGAAAAATATTGCAGCTCATCGCACTTGGTTATATTGTTTCCTTGTTATTCATAAGTATTCAGACAAATTATGTCTATTTCTTAGAAATGTTTCAAATCCTGAGAAATTATGAGTCTATGATTACAGGCCTGAGATTTCCCTTGGAACAGGCAAATCCCTGCATTGGGTGTCATGTCAGCCACCCAAGAAGAAAGCAGAAACAGTACCCTCTGGCCTGGGTGGCCAGCTATGTGCAGGCAGCACTAGGATGAAGATCACTCTATTCAGACTGCTTGGCATTAAACACAGGAGAATAATATTTCCACCTGAGAGAAATCAAGGATCATCGCACCAACCATTTACTAAGCATAAATAAGTTTTCACAAGGATTTTTCATAGCGGATCATTCAGGCAGGAACATAAAAAGCCATACTTGAAAAAGTCATGTTTGCAGTTCATTGTAACGTTACTGCAGCTTCCTCCACCTGGGGAGCAGTGCAGATCTGTGGCGGTGCCAACTGTCTCCTGGCCGCCTCCACCTGGGGCTCATCCCTCCAGCAAGGGAGAGTTATACCACCGACCTTAGTGAAAGTAGAAGCAAGTTCCTGAGAGAAAGCACTTCCACGTTTTACTCGTAGAGTGCCATTTCTCTTGGTTTATTTGTAGCCAATATTCTGATAAAGTCACTTCCTTCTTCTCAGTCAAGTGCCATTGACTTTGGCCATTTTCAATTGTTCTTCCACTGCCAATTACTACAGCACTTGGCTGTGAACTCAACTCAAAATCATGAGAATAGTTTCGTCTTTCGTAAAGGAGAATTATGCCTTCTTTTCTTGTCTCTTAGAGCACGAATAGCTCAATGCCGACTTTCATTCAGTTCCTTGCTCACCAATGTCTCTTAGGGTTTAATGTCGCAGTAGCAGAGACACATAAAAAGTAGATTTCCAGGGAATAATATCTCACACCTTCTTTCAGTAACCTCTTTCTTTCATTGACCACTCCATCAGAAAGCTTCTCGCTAAATCCCCACGATACAAACTGAGCTGCCTTGCCTCCCCAGGGAGACCACGAACACAACCTGTTCACTGATGACTTTCAAGCAAAGTCCTGTCTGTTGAAAGTCTGGCATCAGTTGCTCCCCTTATTGTCCTCTTTTCCACACTCAGCCCTGAGTGTTAAACACAGAATAAATGAGCTCCTGCAAGTCCGGGACTGAAATTTTCTCTGACTGTAGATGCCTTCCAAGGTGAGGCCTGATTTCTGATGGTTGAACATATTGTGCCTTTCAGTGAGAGCAAATTGTCTGCCTGCCACAATTCACGTGTGTAGCCTAATTCAGGTGTGTAGCCAAAGATCAACCTAACAGAGGCAGTGACACTAACATATTAGACTGGATATTAAAGCCTGTGTGTTGACTTGTTCCTCTCATGTGTCATTGAGATCTTCTTTTTTCCTCTCCAGCAAAGAAAACTATAAGAAAAACTTTACATTTAGTGAACTCATCTATGAGTGACTGTCATCAGCATCCTTTTTGATTTATAAGGGTGCATAGTGCCAGATTCTGCTCTCATTTAAGAACGTGTAGACTGGAAGTGCTACTAAGATGAAACCTTTCCCTATAGGGGTTACAGCATATTTAGTCTAAGTCATCAAAACGTAGACATCTACTTGAATATAGTTGGTTTTTGTATGGGCAAAAGTTTGCTGCTCATGGAGTGACACAGACACCTCCAGCGGGCAATGCAACCCATCGCCTTAAGATGAGTCAAATTCCAGAGATCCTGATCCCTCACACTTAATTATGACGAGATCCCACATGACCAGCTTAGGCTTAGATACCGAACTTTAAGGCTTAAGTTAGATGAAATGAAACCTATGCTTGATTTTGTTAAAAAGCATTGAACTCAGACATGCTTAAGTCCAATCAAGAGTCCAAAGTTTTGATCATGGACAAGTATTTGGATGAAATGAATCGCTGCATCTTATTCACAGTACATCTTGAATTGTTCTGATGTGTTGAGATGGCCAGGGTATGGGTCTGAAATACTGCAAATTCTCGGCTTTTGCAGATGCCAGTATTCAGCAAACACTAGGAAGGGCCAGGCAAAACTCTTAAGATGAAACTAAAGATCCCCCGGGAGTGAGGCAAATGAACTATTTTTAACGTAAAAAGATAGCGTGCCAACAGAATAATATAGTTATAACTACTTCCATGTTATCAGGTCTGGAGCTCTTCCTAGATGTGTCTTCTGTGAAGAAAGGCTATTTTCTGAATGAATCTAAGGACAAAAGTAAAATGCACAAGATTCCAAGAGAATCATTTGTTTAAAGGCTACAAGCCCCCTAATATATGACACCTCTCAGCAATTGTTACAGACTCAGGCAAGCTAAATAATGTGGCTGGGAATAATGTAAAAGGGTTCTATTTACTTTAGTGATTTGAAGCTTCCTGTGGAAATAGCTCCCAGGTTTCCTGATGGAAGATTTTGTTTATCTTTGCCAAGCACCATCAGGAATCTCAAAATAAAATGCGCTTAGTGACATTGGGAAACCAGGGAGATAAGGCAGAGCTGTTCCTGTTTCACCCTCTGTAATTGCAAACACACCCATGGGTCTG